GGCTTGTAATGAGAAGCAGCAGTCTCCAGCTTCACCCTCCTTTCCTGTTCTCTGGAGGCAACCATTTTTAAATTTTTCAGCTATTTTCTAAGTAACGAGCTCCTTTACCTATTCCTTGATGTATCAACATTAGATATTACCTATTGACATCCTGAAATAATGGTTGAGGATTTAGCTCTCTTGTACTCTCTATCTCTCATCCTTCTGGTATAACGATATCACTGTTTATAATTCTATCACTAACAAATATTGTTCACCAAAGAGCCAAAAGGTATGCTCTGATTATATTTCTTTAAATTTTCTTATTGCCCCCCTTTTTTTTTTTAAGATTTGTTTATTTTAGAGTGAGTGCAAGCAGGGGGAGGGGCCAAAGGGGAGGGAAAGAATCTAAAGCAGACTCCCACCGAGCAGGGAGCCTGACCTGGAGCTCAGTCTTACAACCCTGAGGTCATGACCTGAGCCGAAACCAAGAGTCAGATGCTTAACTGACTGAGCCACCCAGGCGCCCCCCACTTTTTTCCTTTTGTATTTGTACTACTTGCCTTTCTCATATACACCATTTTTTCAAGTGCTTAATCCTGTCAGTTACTCTATCCAATTCACTTTTTTTTCTCCTAGAGACTTCCAAGTCTTATATTCTTTTTTTGTTAGGCGGCTGTCATGACAGTAACAAAAAAATTAGCCTTTCTCCCTTTCACTTCCAGCCTAATATCACCTCCAGCCCCCACTGGCAGTCATTACCTGCCTGTATTTCTCTTTGTTCCTTTTCTTTTCTCTCCAAGCTTCTGGTCAGCTCACTTCTTTTTCCCAGCCATGTTCTTTCTTGGTCCATCTATTTGGCCTTCTCAACAGTCCACTCGTAGTAGTAGTATTACTCTGTCAGTCAACTTTTGGTTCATTATAAATTAGCATTTTGAAGTGTTCTCATTTACATAGGGCACCCCAAAGATAACTTAATTCACAGCTAAAAAGGCAATTGTTCTAATGCATATGTGATTGAGGCAGAGCCCTTGCAGGGAATAGCAAACTAAGGGCAGCTGATTATAATGAAAGGCCGAAGTAAGGCATAAATGCTTCAGGCATGACAAGAACATAGACTGAAAGACCTGAAGATCTATTTCAGCAGAAAAATATCCATCAAAAGAAAAACTTTTCCTAAAGGAGTGCCCAGCCAAGGTGTGGGCCTTAGAAAAGCTGGATCCATATTTTAGGAGCAACACTTTGTTGACTGGTCATAAGTCAAGAAACAAGTTTAATAAAGAATTCATTGAAAAACACTATTTCAACACCAGGCTAAAGGTGGCCCCAGAAGAGTAGGACTTAAGGTTTTTGAACATATTATTGGTTGATATCAGATGTTGAACTTAGAAGGCTACTTCTTTAAGATTTATAGAGCAATGTCCAAGCATCATGACCTTGGAGCTACTCCAGAGTCCCATGTTTTATCTAAATGAATCCATTCAGACCAACTGTGTACCTACTTGGCTTTCATTGTGCATTCTGTCTCTTTAATTCCTGTTGTCTTTGAGCTTGAATTACCTCTAGAAAATGGCTCTCACACTTTCCCCACCCAGCCTTAGCACTGCTGTTAAAACAGTGGACTTGTGGATTGTGGACCCTCGGGCCCCTGTGGCTGTAGGCAGTGGATTTATGCTTCCAATTTACCTTCTCTTGGTATCCTAGTCATTAGTTAGGACTTTACCTCTCTTATCTTCCACCTGTCCTGTGACCTATACAGCTCCAGTGGGGACTGCTGCTCCAGCACCTGCTTTATTCAGCCAACTGCTGGTACTGGTTCCCTGACTGGTGTCTGAGCTGTGTCCACCCCAGACCAAATGTGACCCAAGGGTCATACTCTAAGGCCATACCCATTATGAAACTCTGCAATGAGGGGCAGGGGAGGGGCAAAGTCTATGTAGAAGCACACCCAAAATGTTCAGAAGTACGCTTTGCTTCTGTCCTCGCCTCAGTCTCAAGAATTGCTGAGCTTAATTTCCTTTTTCTCCTTCTCAATCATTCTGCCAAATAGCAGAGATCAAACGACCCTGGACACTGGGGAAGGCTGGGTATTAAAATCAGCTTGTTGGGTGCTGTAGCAGAAGGTAGGTGGAACAGAGAGGTCTCAGCTACATTCACAGGTGTGAGATATGTCCTCAGTCAACATTCATCCTCTCTACACTTTATGCACAATCTTTTTCACCTCCCCCAGCTCACTAGGGCTGTAAACATGCTTGTATCAGCTCTGAAAGGAGTCTTCTGAGGAAAAGAAACCCCTAAGGAAGGTTTTTCCCAACCAGGTTCCCCTGAGACATCTGCTGTTCTCACTGCCAGCATTTATTCCTCCTTCTGGTGGCAGAATGCATTATTTTCCCTGGGGAATCGCTCCATTCTCTTACACTAAAAGCCTGATTGTGCTCCAGGTAGCCTGTGACCCAGCTGTGGCTAATCGGGGTTCCATTCACTCTGGCTATCATGTTAGTTTAGTGGTGACACATGACCCAAGCTCATCCAATCAGTTTTGATCACTCCTTTTGTTGGAGTAATTGAAAAAGAGCATCCTCTTTCCGTTACGGTTGTTTGGGAGGATAAAACCCAAACCCAAAACTGATGTCAGCCATCTTGCTTTGATGAAGGGTCAACTTGCTTGATAAAGCGGCCAGCATACAAGAAAGCAGAGTCACAGGATGGGAGGAAATGAAACTGAATGGGGTAGCCATCACCTGAGCCCCTGGATCCAGTTGTGCCTGAGGCTATAGTCTCTACCCCTTGACCTTACAGACATTTGAGCCAGTAGCATTCCCTCCTTAAAATTTTTAAGACTTGATTAATGAATTTTATTATTATTATTATTATTATTATTATTATTATTTTTACTTAAGTCAGTTTGAGTGTCTGTTAGCTGCAGCTCAAAGAATCCCGACTAGTACAACTGGTCATTTTACCAAAATCCTGCACTCTGACTTCCATGGACAGTGTGTAACATATTTGCCAAGTTTTATAGTGCGTTCTCAGATGTTTGCTCCCCACCGAGTTCTGTTATGTGTTTGGATTTCTCCTCTTTTCTCCGTACTCTTCCCCTCAAGGATCCATTCTATCTCAGAGCTTGAACTATGGTGACCGATGCTCCTCAGCACCAGCAACCTATTTGGGAGTCAGAAACACACTTGACTCACATTTTCAGAAACAGTTGTCTTTTAGGTAGAAGAATTCACGATGTACAACTGGAATGATAAGGTTTCACACCTTATAATATCAGCAGCCCTCGACCTGTGAATGGGGTATACGTTTTACCAGGGAAACAACAGGAGGTGGTTAGGTTCCTAGGCTAGCCCGCAAGACCAAATTCACCCATAATGTAAGTGAACAATAGTGCTATCCCTAATTATTCTACTGGATCATTCACCACATGGGATTATCTTGGGATAGCTCATTCAAATTCTCCCTGGCGAGAGAGTAAAATCTGTTTTCGACCTACATTCCTATCAGTGGGAATACTCCCTTCTATCTCTCACCCCCAACTGCAGGGTGCCACAGCAAGACTTCCATTAAAAGTCTGTGACCTACAATTTCAGCTGTGTTCCCTGCAACTACCGTTTGTGTGACAAGACTCTTTGTTCTAGCCCAGATCTTCATTGAACATCAAATCTTTGTCTTGATACTCATGGGCATCTTCATTGGCTTGTAGTATTCAATATATACAAAACTGAACTTACTTCCTCCGCAAACTGTCACTCATATTCCTTAACTTGATGGTACAGCTATTGGCCCAGTTGTTTAGGACAGAAACCAAGGAGTCATTGAAGACATATATCCCCTATTAGTTATTTGCTATTGTCAACCAGTCACTATGTCCTACAGGTTCTTACTTTGGATGCTTGTTACTCTGTTCCTTTTGTTCCATCCCCCCAGTCACAGTCTTCAGTAGGCCTTCATAAATTCTGATGGGGGTCGCAGCTTTAGTCTCTGAAGTGGTCTTCCTACTCTTTCTGGGCCCCCTTAGTCTCAATTCCTTATTTCAGTCAGAGAGATTGTTCTTTATGAATCTGGTCAGGCCATTCCTTGCTGACATCCTTCATGGCTCCCCAGAGGATTTAGGCCTAGGTTCTGTATCCTTATCTTAGCACACAGGACTCCATGTGATCTGGTTCTTGACAACTTCCCTTTTATTTTAGCTATTTTGGGAGTGACCACATTCTTTCATTCAGTGAACATTTATCAGGTGCCCAGCACTGTCCTTTCTTGGCACTGGGAATATAGCAGTGAACAGAAACAAAATCCTTGACCTCATGGAGCTTCATTCTAATTGGGGATGGTGTGTATCAGAGGCAGTAACTACAATGAGAGAAAGCAAGACAGGAGTAGAGAGTGACAGGGGAGGAGCCTTCAAGGAATATCTCATTGAGGAGGTGATATTTGAACCTAGACTTGAAGGAGGTGAGGGAGCAAGCCATGTGGACATCTAGAGGAGGAGACAGTGGTACAAGGGCCCTGAGGTGATATCAAGGATCAGTAAGAGGGCTAGTATGGCTGGCACAGAGGGGGAAAAGGAGGGGGAGTGAGTTGAGGCAGATCATGTAGGGTCTTATAGACTATTCATTGTAGCTACTTTGTTATCCTGAGGGAGATGGAAAAATCATTGGATTGTTCTGATCCTAAGGGCAATGTGCCCTGAATTTATGTCTTAAAAATGAACTACTTATTCCCTATACTGTGTCATAACTCCTCCTCCATCCTGGCTGTAATCTACATTGTTCTCTGACAACACCACTCCTCACTTCTTCATTTCTCTGAGTCACCTCTTCATCAGGACTTTCCCTTACACAAAGGTCGATTTAGGTGCATCTCAGGCCCTCATAGCACTGTCATTATAAGTGTTTATGGGGTTAGGAAATAAATGGATAAGGGTGTGAATCTAATTGGAAGTGAAGAATGCCATGTATGCCAGGGGGAGGCCAATAAGCAGATGCTACTCTTAGTAACGAACATTTTTTGAGTGCTCACTATCTGCCACACATTACACTAAGTGCATCTCATGGATCGTGTCGTTTGGTGCACCTCTGCTATTGATGCTGTTTCAAAACCTCCTTTACAGAGGAGGAGTCTGATCATGGAGAGGTGAAGTGACTTGTCCAAGGTCCCACACCCAGCAAAGGATGGAGATGGGATTGAACCAGGCAGTCAGGGTCCAGCAGGACTTCGTGCCCGGATAAGAGAAAGTAATTCATTTCCCAGTCACATAAAAACACAGAAAGTAGGTCTGGGCGACTGAACTTCCACAAAGGTCAAGGATGGGCAGTATATCCGGCTTATTCTGGGTGGCACCTTGTTACTTCTCTGAGACAGCATCTACACAAGTCAAGGTAGAAAGGAGTGTTCTCACTGTAGGGAGGTGTAGCCGTTAAGAGAAGAGCTTTGTGTCAGGCAGACCTTGGTATGGTTCCAGCCCTCCCAGTTGTCACCTGTGGGACCTAGGGAAGTGACTAAGATACCCTGGACTCAGCTTCCTCATCTGTAGAATGGGAATATGATTATTTGTAAGGATTACATTTGATAAGCTTGTAAAGATCCTCCACTCCCCAGCTCATGTCCCGTCATGTTATTTGCTCCAGTTCTCCTGTCTCGCAGCAAGACAGCTAGCAGACCCAGTGCCACCAGCCAGTCTCACTCCATATTTTGAAATGGACACTGGATGAGCATGGAATACTCCAGGTATTTTTTTTTAAAGATCTTTATTTTTAGGGCTTGGAGGTCTTAAGTAAGAATCGGGTCAATCCAGGAGCCAGACATCCACATTTTCTAGGTGGAAGGAACTATCACTTTAATGGAAAGAAACCAGTATCTACGGAGGGTCCACACAGCACATCACAAAAACGTAGAGAGGTGGCCTTGGGATAAGCACTACTGTAGAAAAACTGAGGCACAGCGACATTTTATAATGTGCTCCAACTCACATGCCAGATTGCGGCAGATCTGAGACCGGGATCCCAGAGTTGTCTGGCCCTGGGACAAAACTGTTTTGTACCTACCCAGTGGCATCAGATAAAGGAAGCTCCTGCTAGACCAATGAGTGAGGCTTACTCCAGGAGCCAATACTGTGTCAAAGAATACTTCACTTCAGCTTCTCTAGGTGGCACGTGACAGAAATCCACTTTCAACGGGCTTAAGTTAAAAAAAAAATTTACTAGAGGGGCGCCTGGGTGGCTCAGATGGTTAAGCGTCTGCCTTCGGCTCAGGTCATGATCCCAGGGTCCTGGGATTGAGCCTCACATCCAGCTCCCTGCTGAACAGGGAGCTGCTTCTCCCTTTCCCTCTGTCCGCCGCTCCCTCTGCTTGTACTCTCTCTCTCTCTAATAAAAAAAAAAAAAAATCATAAAAAAAAAAATTTACTAGAAGGGACACTGGGCTATTTTACATAAGAACGAAGTGAACAGTTAGAACCTGGGAAGGCTGCAAGCAGAATCTGTCAAGTCACTTAGAACCCACAAAGCTAGTTCTTGTCTTGTTCTCAGGTCACATATTCCCACCTCTATTTTTTGGTCGGTGTTTGTGCTTCATACTTTTTTCAAGAGACTGGCTGTGTCTGCTTTTACAATCCTTGGCTGACCCCGAACTCCCAAGTTACATGTCCAGCAAACAGCTTCCCATCTTCCCTAACCTCTATCCCTAGCATCCCAGCTCCAAATTCCCCAGAGAGAGAGAGATTTTTCCCAGCCTGAGCCCACATCTCCACTGACACAGTCAGTTATGCTGCGAACCAGGGCCACTTAGTCACCCGGGCTGAGGTCCAGAAGGGAAAAAGCAGTGCTCAGAGAAGAAGGTAGGTCAGGAGCTCTTAGGTCTCTACCTCAAACCCTACCTGGTCAATTTGCTAGAAAAATGCTAAGTAAAATGAGGGGCGCCTGGGTGGCTCAGTCATTGAGCGTCTGCCTTCGGCTCAGGTCATGATCCCAGGGTCCTGGGATTGAGCCCCACATCGGGCTCCCTGCTCTGCCAGCTGAGATGGTTTTGGTGGAGAGACAGCCAAGGTCTCTCCCTCTCCCACTCCCCTCTGCAGGCTCTCCCTCTCCCACTCCCCCTACTTGTGTTCCCTCTCTCGCTGTCACTCTTCTCTGTCAATAAATTAAAAAATCTTAAAAAAAAAAAAAGAAAAATTCTAAGTAAAATGAATAACAATGACCTAAACATGAATATGAACACTTAAAATATTTTTAAAAGCAAAGTTTTAAGTAATAGGAACACCTTTATATGATTTAGCATTTTTCTTTATACAGTTCAGCTGCTCATCATCAAATATCATCGAATCCTCATTGTAGTGCCAGGACTCAAAAGAAGGATAAGTTTCAAAACCTGAAATCCTGCAAGATCGAGCTCAGCTCCTGTGGTTTGAACTTCAGAGCATCTATAAAGTCAACAGTCCTTACAGAAGACTGTCTTCCTCTTTCCTGAGAAGCCTCTGATGCCCTGCTTTCATTCATTGGTGAGAAGGGATTCTTTTGCTTCCTAATTTTTAAATTACTATTAGTGCCTCTGGCGTCCTGCTTGCTTTGCCTTCTCTGAGACTTTCCAAGAAGGAGGACATCTGATTCCTCACTAATGAAGTTTTTTTTTTAGCAGCTTGGCATAAGCTAGAAAAAGAAAAGAGGGATGTTTCTGTAAGCTCCATGCTTTTCTTCTTTTAACTCCACTGCCTCTACTCAACACCAAGTGTTTACCAAGCACCTGTTAGGTGCCAGGTCTTGCAACAGAAGCAGGTTCTAGCTGCAGCTGTTTTATTACCTTGCTGCTCTGATAATAGATCTTCTTAAAGGACACAGTCACATTTTCTCAAGCTTTCTAAAGTACCTGTTAAAAATATTTAGCTAGGTTATACATTGACTTCTCCAAGTATGGATCTGGAAAGTTCAAAATGAGTTGAAGAATCAATGCAGGTTGGTTGGCTTTTGTTTTTTAAGCTTATCCTAGAATTTCTTCGGTTTACATTGATTTCAACACTCCTGGACTGACAACATGGTTATACAGCAGGTTAAGAGTCAGAAAGTATGTTGTTAGCTCTCATAGCTGACTTGTAATCCCACCTAGGTGTAGGCGCGTACCAAACTAACATTTCCTGTTAAAGATGTTAAAGATTAGTAACACATGCCTTGATTGAGCCAGCTGAGATGGTTTTGGTGGAGAGACAGCCAAGGTCTGAGATATGCCAGTGTCCTGCTTGTATATTGGATCCTGGAGCAACAGGACAGCCTTCATCTGCTGGGGCAGTTCCATCCACGTTTGTTCATGAGTTTCTTTTGGTAGAGAAATGCACATCATGAACTTGCCCACTGTCCTTGCTGGAAGGGGAAGGATGTTACAAAAACTTGGCTTATTGTCAAATGCCCTGGAAATGTCTATTTACAGTGCTTCACAGAGAGATGTCTATGATTGAATAATGATGCTTGAGTTTTTGACTGTAGTCTGTAGGAGATGCCTCTCTCATTTGCCACCTGAAAAGCTGCAATTACCAAAATTGCTTATAATGCCTCTCTTTTAGGAGTTCCCCTATCGGGAATCCCTTCAGGAAAATTCATTCATGCGTGCATTCATTCATTGCTCTCTCTTCATGGCCATGTGAGCAAACCTGTTCTACCAAAGCACAATGAACTTGCCTACCAAAAAAGACAACTCAAAATTTTGATGTTTAAGACCAGCTGATCACCTGGGATAAAACCAATGGTGTGCTGGGAAATGTTTGACAGTCAGCTTGCTAAAAAAATTAAAAAGCTCTGATTTGTAGTGTTTGCCGATTTCCCTGGTATAATACTCTCTCCATGGCTGAGTTCAAGCCACCACGGTGATGCCACTGAAGGTGGCTCTTGGTTGGGGGGGAAGTTGTGTGCAGTGGCCCCCATGGGTCATATGAGCCGGCTATGAATGCTGTACACTCTACACTGCATATGTGTATGGTCATACCCTTGGGGTGCCTGGGTGGCTCAGTTGGTTGAGTGTCCAACTCTTGATCTCCGCTCAGGTCTTGATTTCGGGGTCGTGGGTTCAGGCCCTGCATTGGGCTCCACATTGGGCATGGACCCTACTTGAAAAAAAAATGATCCCACCCTTGCTGATTTTCTTCCCTCCCTCCTGTTCTTGTTCTTCTTGTTCTTTTCCTCCTCCTCCCCACGTCCTTCCCCTTTCCCTCCTCCACTTCTCCTTATGCTTCTCCTTCTTCTTTTCTGATTTCTTTACCCAGCATTTGCTTTCTTCTCCCTTCCTTGTCCCTGGTTTCAACTCTTAACTTGTTCTGCAACCCTGATCTCAGTTCTCACCACTGGCTCCTTTGGATTTGTTGTATGTAATGCTCTCTTTCCAGCTCTTGGGACTCTGCATCCTTCTACCTGGCTGCTGCTTTGGCAATTGCCATTTCAGGGATTCTTGGATAGAAACTCCTTCCCAAAAGCCCCATTCAGCGAAGCCAAATCACTGCTCTCATTCACAAGGCAGGCTGGTTGCAGCTCCCACAGCAGGAGTGGGGGTGGGGGTGAGGGCAACATTCATAAAGAACGGCACAGCGTTTATCAGGCCTGGGGACTGGTGCATGTCAAGTGCATGCCCAAGTTCAGATCTCAGCTCTGCCACTTCCTCTTGTATTATCCTGGACATGTTACTCATCTTGCTGTTTCTGGCTTCTCATTTTTAAGACAGAGGGCCTCATTGGGCTAGTCCTTGATTAAACAGATTTATATTTGTAAAGTGCTTATAATAGTGCCAATCACACAGTATGTGCCATGCAAATGTTTGTTAAATAAATAAGACCCATTCCACAAATATTTACTGAGTACCTAGTTTGGGCCAAGTGCATGTACAAGGCATTGTGGGCACTTTCAAGACTGGAACAGTTTCTTCTCTTAGTTGTTCACAGTGTAGTACGGGGGGGGCGAGGGGAGGTAACATGTATACACAAATTGCCTTGATTCAAAGAGGAGATGAAAATTTTGAGAATTATGTGGTAGATACTGTAATAGGTACTTCTTTTCATTATTTTATTTAATATCATTTGGTCATCACTTAAGAGATATCATCTTTACAACATTTACATTAAAAAAATTATTAGAAATACCAAACATTTAAAATCATTGGCCTATTTATTATCTTTTTCATGGATGTCAACAATTCCTTTTGATTAGACAGTTTTTTCCTCGTGGGGCATTCATGTTTGTAAATTAATTTTTTCTTTTATTATGGATATTTCAAGCATGCACAAAATAGACACAATGATATAATGAACCCCTAGGCATCTGTCCCCCAACTTGAATCATTAGCAACCTATAACTCATAATTGTTTTGATTTATTCATATCCCCACTCACTATCCCCATCTAGATAACGAAAAAAGGAAATTCTAGACACCATATCATCCCACCTGCATTATTCTCATTTTATAGGTGAGCAAAATGAAGCTTAGGGAGTTTAGGCAGTTTGGTGAAGGTCGTTCAGCTAATAAGTGGCCAAGCTGGGACCTGTACTTCCGTCTGTTGTACTCCAAAGTCTGTGCTTTTAACCAGAATGCTAAAATTTGGGGGAGGCTACAAATGCCCCAAGGAAGGGAAGAAATTGAGAGTTCAGAAGGGAATCCGAGAGGACTTTGCAAAGAAATGGCACTTGAGGCTGTTGAAGTGAAGGTAGAGACTTTTAAGAGAAATGAAAAGCTTACATTAAGGCACAGAGGAAAGCGATTATATGCTGAGCAGTGGGTTTGAAGAGTATTATTAGTGTGTGGCAAGCAGGTTAACTTGATCAGAATCATTTGGGGAGGGCCTTGTTTAAAATGCTGATTGCTGGGACCCCCGCCCTGAGAGAGGGACCAACTCTCTGAGGTTTGGGGCCTCCAGATCTATTTTTAACAAGCTCCCCTGGAGTATCTGATGTACTCTATAGTTTGAGGACCACATGGAGACATTTGGTGGAACCAGCAGGACTGTAGGGGTAATCACTCAGCGATTTTATTTTTGTTTTCCACTGTCTGTTCAAATCCATTCTGTAGCCCTGAGAGAAATCCCAGGGAAGCCCCATGACTTTCCAGGTCATTGTTAATCAGGTCTCCACTCATCTCAAGTCATAGAAAGTCTTATTTTAGCAAATATATCCCATGTAATACTTCAAATTCAATTTAAAGATTTTTGCAAGGAAAGTGAAATCTCTGTCTTCCAGCTTCTAGGGCATGCTTGGGCTGGCAGGCCACATTGGGCAAGGAGAAGGTGGGGGTCTGTTTCTCTTTTTCCTGGTTCAGGCTTCTCCTCTCATCCCACTCATCAGATTGCCTCCAAATTTTCCAGAGCAGTATTGGAAGGAGGGAGACAGTGTCAGGTATAGAAAAATCCTTACTTTTACTTTAGCACTACTTTCTGGAGAATAAACTATTTTGATTTTCCAGATTCCTAAATTGGTCTTCATATGTGTTTGTCCTGCTATTCAGCTTTTATGCCAGGTTTTTAATTTTAACAAACCACTATTTAAATTTCCAAGAATTCTCCTTATTTTTATTGTTGGCAGCCCAATTTTGATTTAAGAATGTGATATTGACTTAAATATCTCTTCATACATTAACTATACTTATTTCAGAGTTCTGATTCTTGTGTTAACTTTACTTCATTTTGTGTTAGTTCCTCCTTTATTCAGCCTCCTACCTCTCATGCTATTTGCCTCAGCTATTTGGTTGTCTAGATTGATTAGTGGGGTTCTTTCAGCACAGCTGAAAATCACTGTGGCTCAGGTAATGAAAGTAGATTATGATCACAGGGGATTTGGCATGGGAATATGTAGGACAATTGAGTTTTCCTTAAAGAATGCAGAAGATAGGGTGCCTGGGTGGCTCAGTGGTTAAGCCGTCGGTTTAGGTCATGATCTCCGGGTCCTGGGATTAAGCCCTGCATCAGGCTTCTGCTCGGCAGGGAGTCTGCTTCTCTCTTTCTCTCCCTCTCTGCCCCTCCCCACTGCTCATTCTCTCTCAAATAAATAAATAAATAAAAACTTAAAAAAAAAAAGAATGCAGAAGGTGCTTGCATTCTGGGCACAGGGACTTCTTATCTATTGGGCCATCTGGAAGGGACTGGGGACACTGATTTCCTTCTCTCAAGCCCTAATCCTTCCTCATGGAATCTCCTTTGGCAGACCCCCTACTGCATTAAGAGGAATGTTCTTTTACCACAAGAATCAGTAATGCAAGGATGAGTCAATATTAGGTTATATAAATGACCATGTTAATAAATCAAAGGGGGAAAACCATTTCATTTAGACAAATGCAAAAACACATTTAATAAATTTCAAAGTCCAATGCTGATTTTAAACATTTGTTACATTACAAAAATGGACATGTAGCTAACATGGCAAAATATGTAAAATTCACACACATTTATACACAGCAAAAAAAGCCATTTTGCTTAGCAGTAAAACATGAAAGTGAGGAATAAAATGACACCTACATTTACCACTAATATCTTTTTAG